CCCACGTCTGGTGCCCTGCGGGGGAAGCTGTCCATGGGGGGGGGGTGGTCTGTCTCACCACCCCCAGGCACAGTGCCCTGCGGGGAGAAGCTGTCCATGGGGAGTGTGATGTCCGTCTCACCACCCCCCTCTTTCCCTACCCCCAGGCACCATGCCATGCGGGGGGAAGCTGTCCGAGGAGGAGTCCCTGCTCTCCCTGCCCACTTCCCAGGAGGGTGACTCTCCCCAGCCCACTGCCCCGGAGCTGCTGCTGCAGGAGCGGCAGCGTGCCCACGAGTGGCCCAAGGTACTGCTGGGGGAGGGAGACACAAACCCAGCCCCAATCATCTGGGGAGCTGGGTGGGGCCATTGGGGGGATTGGGGGTAGGTTCTGTGGGGGAGTGTGGGGGTTGTCATGGTTACATGGCAGGTTTTGATGGGGTGGTTGCTGTGGCTCTGTGGGGGGGGATGGGGTGTTACTATGGTTACGAGGCCAGTATTGTTGGGAGGTTACCATAGTTCTGGGCAGGAATGGAGGGGTTGCCATGGTTACGTGGCTCATTGTAATGGGGTGGTTGCCATAGTGATACTGACACCCCTGTCTCCCCCAGGACCGGGTGCTCATTAACCGCATCGACCTGGTGTGCCAGGCTGTGCTGTCGGGGAAGTGGCCCTCAAGTCAGCGCAGCCAGGAGCTCTGCGGTGGCCATGGGGGAGACCTTGCCCCCCGGCTGCCAGGTGACTACGCCAGCTCGCCTGCTCCCCATGCCTGCCCCCAGGACGAAGCGCCAGCCCTGTACACCCGGCTCCGGCACAGCCCCGAGGAGAAGGAGTTCACTGTGCAGATCAAGGACGTGAGTGGAGGTTTGGGGGTGCCAGTCCCATGGGAGGGGGGGCAGGGCGGGGGTTATGGGGGATGTCTCTCCAGAGGTGGTGCCTGTGATGACTTGCCATGCTAATACCGACATCTCCCTGGCAGTGCATGTGGCTCTGCCCTGGGGAGGAATGAGTTAAACTCACTTCTCATGGAGACCTGAGGTGCCTGCTCCCCTGTGGGTCTGGGACAGGTGGGGGGGGGGGGGTCGATGCTGGGGTGGCATTGGCCCCTGTTTCCCAGCCCCCATGCTGACCCTGTGTCTCCCCCCCAGGAGGAGGGGATCAAGCTGACATTCCAGAAGCATAAGCTGATCCCCAATGGCGCTCTACATGAGCGGCACCCGCACCCGCTAGGCCACAAGAAGAGCAGCAAGAAGCTGGTGGAGGTGAGGGGGTGGGAGAGCATATCAGAGGGGGTGCGGGGTTTCTGAGTCCAGCAAGAGCTGCAGAGCCTGGGAGGGCTGTGGGGGGTTGTATGCACAGGGGTGTCTGCCTTCATGGAAGCTGTAGTACCTGGGGAGGTGGGATTGCTGGGGGGGGGGTCTCTGTCCTGGCTGGTGGGGCTTTGTGGGGTCTCACTCTCCTGACTGGGGGTGTCTGCCCCAGCTGGAGCTGCAGTGCTTGGAAGGGCTGCGGGGCCCTGACATCGACCTGGAGGCGCGGATCCCGGTGGTGCACAAAGCGAATGGGACATTGCTGGTGGGGGAGGCGGCCCCACGCCGAGCTGATCTGGAGGCCTGGCTACATGCACACCCTGACTTTGCCATTGACCCCCGCTTCCTGGCTGTGAGTGTCACCCCGCCCCTCCCTTCTGTCAGGGCCATGCCGGAGAGCCCTTGGGCCCCAGCTTCCTGCCCTCCTGCCTCTTCACCCTGGGCTCCTGCTCCCCAGTGCCGGTCTGGAGATGGGAGAGAAATGGGCTTTGGACACGGACATGCACACATGCCTCTCTTCCTCCCTGCTGCTGCTCTTCTCTCTCCCCGCCCCCTCCCGCCCTGCCATGTGATCTGCCAGAACTGCCCCCTTACTCCCAGAGACACAACTGCCCCCTGAACACACTCCAGGAGTGTTCAGCAGGTTCAGGCCCCTCTGGGGATAGACTCTGATAGGCCCCAAATAGAGGGAGGCTCTGACAGCTACTGCCCCCTGGTGTCATGGGGCTGCTGTCAGGTAGAGGCCCTTCAGGGAGGTGGGGCCCTGAGCAGTTGCTCCGCCTGGGGAAGCAGAGCCAGAGCCGAATAACCAGTTGTCACTTTCTCTTGCCCCGATCCCTGTGTGTCATTCCCCGTTCCCACCTCCCAGTACATGGAAGATCGGCGCAAGCAGCACAAGTGGCACCGGTGTAAAAAGACAGGCACAGTAGAGCTGAGCTGCCTGCCGGGGTTGGAGCAGGGCCCTGGGGCCAGTGGCTCCCACAACGGCAAGAAGGTGAGAGGCAGGTGCTAACCCCTATCTACCCCCTTCCATCTCATCCAGCGTTCACCTGGCCCCCTCCCATTGATCTACCCCCCACCTTTACCCTTCACCTTCATACAGCCTGTTCTAACCCCCTGCAAGGGCAGGGCCCAGAGGCTGGGTCCGTATCTGCCTGGACTCTCCTTGGGTTTCATCCCCCAGATCCCTCCAGTCATGGTGTCTGCTCCCTTGGGAGAGGGGTGTGACAGTGTGGGGGATCTCTAACTGCGGGGCGGAAGGGTCCACTGTCCTTGCTGGGGGCAGGCTAGCCCCATAGCAGTACTGGACTGGGGGGGGCAGCCTTGCAGCATTAACTCTTCCCCTTTCTCTCCCTTCCCAGGGCTTCATGACTGACCCTGTGATGAGCCGGCTGTTGCCAGGGCCATTGGAATCCGAGGGGGGCCTGAAACAGCTACGGGGTCGCCGGGCTGGTGTGGAGCTGTCCAAGATGGTATCCCTGATGGGTGGGGCTGGGCGGAGCCAGCTGGGGGCTATGGGGCCCCTGTCTTTACATAGTCCCTTCCAGCCTGGACCAGCCCCTGGCTCTTCCCTGTCCTATATGCCCTTCCCTACAGCCTCCTCCTCTGGATCCCTGCTGCACCCAGGGTTGGGCCATGGCAGCTATCCCCCAGGCCCGCACGTGCACCTGGGCTCCCTGGGGCACCCGCAGCCTGATGAGGAAGAGGATGAGGAGGATGAGATAGATGACTTATCTCAGGGTTACGCCAGTTCAGAACAGGACTTCTCCCTGCTCGATGACCCCATGATGCCAGCCAACTCGGACTCCAGTGATGGTGCTAATGACGGGGGCGACTGAGCTGAACAGATGGAAGAGGGGACTGGAACTTACTGACTGTGTGGGGGATGGCTGGAGTGACCCTATGGTGGGCCCTCAGCATCCATCAAACAATCCTCTTCCCCTACTGGGGCTCAGTGTACGGGGGGGGGGACTCTGCCCTGGCCTGGGATGATGGGAATGGGCACAGACCCTGTCCTGGGGCAGGGGAGCCTCCCTGGGCTAGATGTATGTGGGCTTGGCCAGTAAAACTGCACCCCAGTATGAGGCCCCAGCTGGGGTCACCTCCCAACCTGCGGCATTATCGGCCAGTGTGCATCCCTGCTCCTTACTTGGCCTTCAAGGGGTGGCAGCCCCTATCCTCAGCCCCAGCTGTGCAGGGCTCAATGCTGTATTGTATGGGGGGGGAGGGGGGCTATATTTATATAAATATGTAATATGTCTTGTGTAATATGGGTGGGGAGGGGCTGCTGTGGTGGGGCCGGGACCCTGTGGGGGGCTGCCATGTGGCTGGAGCGGGTGGGGGGTGGGGCTGCCTGGGTTAGCGCTTCCTGTAGTTGGATTTTTTTTCTAATAAAAGAAACAAAATGTGCAAAAAAAAAAAAAAATCCCCTAAGGCTGGCCTATGCTGTGGGTGTGGAGGAATTGTAGGCTGGGCAGAGGGAGCAAGTCTCTGCTTGGTTTCCTAGCAGCTGTGTCCTGTGAGCAGCCCTGGCCCCACCGGCCTCGCGCCTGGCTCGGATCTGGGCCTTTGGGTCTGGCTCCCTCCTGCTGCCCCTTCCCCTGGGGGGGAGGGTGGGGTGTGAGCAGCGCCCCCCCCCCGGCTC